TCCCAGAGGACGAGGGGCCGGGGGAGGCCAGGAACCAGCATCCAGTGTCGCCCTGAGGCTGTCCCAGCCTCCCAAGCCCCCAGCAGCAGGAAGTGAGTCATCACCTCTCAAGACCCACCCACTGGGCGACAGCCCCAGGGCCAAGGGCGCAGTTAGGAAGTGTGAACAAGCCGCCTGGCTGACCCCGGACCAGGGGTCCTTCCCACCCGACCTGAGCAGCCGCCAGTCTGCCAGCCCCCACAGGACCGGGGCTGCTGGCCGCCCACCTCGCGGGGCACCAGGCAGAGGACAGAGGGACGCGAGGGGGGCTGGCCTCCGGTGCCCCCCCCCCCCCGTCCTCTACGTGCCTTCCCCCCCCCCACCCCCACGCCGGGAACAGCAAGCACCTCGCTTGCTCCCTGAGTCTGAGGAGGGCCGTGAGAGCCACGTGGGGCGGAGATTCCCCCGTGCGAGGAAAACAACCCATTTCAACGAGTTCAACGAAAACAGGGGAATGTGTCTTCTACGCTGCTTCCGCTGCTCGCACAAGCTGTAAAACACGAACCGGGTCATTTCAGTCATCTCACACGTGAGTTAAAAGCAGCGATATTGGCCCTGAAAACACATCAAGCAACCTAGAGATGGATGGTCAAGCACGTGCTGCTAATTTGAAATTGGGACATTCAACAGCCAGTAGCTTCTCCCTGGGCCGCGGGCGGACCCCGGGGAATGAGGGCTGCGTCTGAGCCCTGGGAGGGGGCTGTGGGGCTGGAGGCACATCTGGGGGCGGGGCAGGGGCCGGACAGAGGGCCACACAGCCCCTGGGACACGCTCTGTCGCGTCCTGGTTGTGAACGTTAGTGCCAACCGGTCAACACCACAGGCCTGGCGCGTGTGTCGCTGTGACTCAGCCGCAGCACTGGCCTGCCCACCCCGCCCTCCAGGGTCCCACCCCCGGGCTGGTCTGCCTGGGGCGGGTCCCCAGTCAGCCCTTCCCCCTGTGGCTGCCGAGGAACAGAAAATGGCTCGGCTTTCTGGCCGAGAGCGTGCCGTCCTGGACAAAAGTGCAGCCCACTTCAGGAGGCCCGTGGAAAATGGCCTTTCTGGGACGGGGGTTTGAGGACCTTGGCCTCACACACACAGATGTTTGGAGAGAATGTTCTGGAACACTGAAGTGGAGAGGCAGACACTTGTAAACAAATATGCACGCAGGCATAGTCTATAGCCCGCTTTTGTGTCCTGTGTGGTCTCCTCTTCACCCCGGCACGGCTGGACTGGGGGGGCGGGGGGGGGGTTCCCCCAGTGACGAGGTTGTGTCTCCACTCCCTCAGCAGCTGTTCACGGCGTGCCGGCTCGGTGCGGCACGGTGCTTAGACAGCAGTGAGACCGGAGTCCCCGCCTCGTGGCGCACACGTGTGTGGGTGCACGGAGGAAAACCCCGGCTGCAGGGTGCAGACAGGACACGGACCCTGAGCAGGCGCAGCGGGAAAGGGCCCTGACGGCCTCCTAAGAGCAGGGCAGAAGCCACCAAGTGAAGCAAAGGAAGGGCAGTCCAGGCAGAGGTGACGGCACAGGTGGGACTCCAGAGTCCAGTGCTGTCCTGCCAAGTTCAGAGCCTTACGTGGTTCGTGGGGCTAAAGCTCAGGGGCTGGATGAGAAGCCAGAGAGGTCAGAGGGCAAGAGGGCAGGTTCTCGGCTTCCTGGGGAGGCTGTCAGGGTTCCCAGGAATAACTCGAGCCCCCCCACCCCCGCTTCTCTCTGAGTGCAGCTGGGCTGGCTGGAGCCTGACATCTGGCGGGGCTGAGCCCCCGCGGGCCCCGGCCAAGCCAGCTGGATGGCGAGAGGTTTAATGAGTGAGTGGCTGCAGAGATTTTGCAGGGAGGGTGTAGCCAAATTTTCTCACGGTGAAAATGAAGTACAAAACACATGCTAGTCCAGATATAAGTCAGTGGGAGCTGTAATTGCGTCCACAAGGAGCTCCTTTTGAAATGGTTGCCCACCCCGGGTATGTCCCAGACAGGGAATGGGCCTCGGTTTGGGGCTCCCCCCAGCACAGGTGCACCTGATTCATTCACTTCACCCTAACAATGAACAGCCCGCTATGCAGATGTCTGATAAAAGAGTGGGTGAGTGGCTGGGTGAGTGGGTGCATGAGTAGATACATAGGTAGATGGGTAAGTGGGTGGAAGGATGGATGGATGGACTGATGGATGGATGGATGGATACATGGATGGATAGTTGGATGAATGGGTAGCTACAAATGTGAATGAATGAAAGAATGAGTAATTGTTTTGTAAGAAATAAAGATTCTTTTTATGTCAGGACACAACACAATGGCACTTGGATGGAAGGAAGGCAGAGCTTTTTGTTACTTTAGTCCCAGACCAGAGCAGGCTTCTGGGCAGAGCTGCGTGGGGGTTGTGCCCAGGACCAGGCTACCAGCCAGCTGGGGCTGCAGGGAGCAGCCTCATCCTTCGGTCAGGCGGGGTCAGCTGGGGTCAGCCAGGCTTCCCAGGCTCCCTGTGGACTAGCTAATTTGAATAACTTTGCGAGGTCCAAGGGATAGGTGCTAACCACAGTGGTTTGGTGCCTGGCCCCATGACAATTAGGGCCACGGTGGTATGGTCCAAAGTCTGAGAGCCCAGGAAGGGAAATGACTGGAGTGTGAACTGACCAACCCCCAGCCAGGACTTCAAAACTGGGTCAAGATTTTTTTTTGAATGATATTACAGTGGCGGATACAGAAGGGTGCAGATGGGCGGATGCCTTCTGGAGCTCTCTCGATCAATAATCGTCACAGAAGCGTCAGCCCTGGGCTCAGACTTTTGCATGTGCGGGAAGGACTCCACAAGGTCTCCATCCGTCCTGATGGGGCTCGAGGAAGACCCCTTCAGTGATATGATGAAGGCTCCGGATCTTCTTTACGGGCGAAGCGCACACACACAGTTCTGTGTGCCATGTTTGGGGACCACGGACTCTGGGCGGCCCATCTGCAGAGAAGTTACAGGGGAAGGGGAGACAGCAGGCGGGGTTCTGACGCTGCTGTCCATTCTTCAGCTCCTCCAGGCCCCCTTTATTCGCTCTGTTTTGAAGGAAAGCCCTTAAGAATTAAAAAAAACACACACACACACACAAAAAAAAACCAATTTGAAAGCCCCTGCCTTGGCAGCTCCTCTGCTTCCGGGAGTGTTAAGTGCTGCGGACGGTCAGCCAGGCCCCGGAGAGAAGCCGGGAAAGCCAGGCAGCGTGGAAGCGAGAGGGGGCCACAGCCCGGCCTCCCCGACGGCACGCACGGCTGCTTCTTAGGGGCAGAGACCCTCACGTGTCTCCGGAAGACAGGGCAGGGAGAGGGCCTCAGTCCCTGAAAAGGTTTCAGAGTTCCCGCTGCCATCGCCCCTTGGGAGGCACACAGGGCACACGAAAGGGCCAGAAGGCCCATATCTGCGCACACGGTCCGTGTAAACCAGCACCCACGGCGTGCGCCTACGCCCCGGCACGGAACAGCCGCAGAGGGCGAACAGTAACGACGAGCAAGAAACGTTGCAGGAGACACATTGACTCACTCTCGGAGTGCCAGAGGGAGGAGCACTGGGATTTAGGGGTCCCCTGCCACGCAGCCCACACCGCCCTCTGTGTGTCTCACCTCACCGAAAAGGGGGCGAGCAGAGAGGGCGAGAACGCGGGCCGGAGCCAGGCGGCCGGGCCCCGGGGGGGCTCGCTGAGTGTGGGCGCCCGTGCGCCCCGGAAAGGGGCCCGGCTCAGAGCCAAGTCACACGCGTATCAGCACCGTGTCCTGACACTCTGCAGGCAGAGTGTGGAGGCTTCCGCTAAAAATAAATAGATTAGATTAATCTATAAATAAATCTATAAATAAATCTATAAATTATCTATAAATAAATAAATAGATAGATTTTGTTCAAGAGTCCTAGAGTTTGCCGACTGAAAATAGGCCACACCCAGAGTGCTCCAAGAAGAGAAAAGCTGAGAGTCCTTCAAGTAAAAAGTATGTTCTTGAAAAGAGTCAGTGCTGTGATCTCAGCATCTGTCTGGGTTGGTCCCAGGTGGTCATTCTCTAGGTGTCCAGTGGTCCAGACACCTGGTGTCGGGTGGCCTGGATACCTGGGTGGCAGGTGGGCTGGCTACCTGGGTGGCAGGTGGGCTGGACACTGGGTGTCAGGCAGTCTGGATACCTGGATGGCAGGTGGGCTGGATACCTGGATGGCGGTGGGCTGGATACTGGGTGTCAGGTGGGCTGGATACTGGGTGTCAGGTGGGCTGGACACTGGGTGTCAGGCAGTCTGGATACCTGGGTGGCAGGTGGGCTGGCTACCTGGGTGTCAGGTGGGCTGGATACTGGGTGTCAGGTGGGCTGGACACTGGGTGTCAGGCAGTCTGGATACCTGGGTGGCAGGTGGACTGGATACTGGGTGTCAGGTGGGCTGGATCCTGGGTGCCAGGTGGTCCAGATAATTGAACATTTTTTTCCTTAGTGCTTAGGGACCATCAGAGGGTTGCCTGGAGTTTTGTCAGACATACCCAGGCATTGACACGGGACTGGAAAGTTTGGACATTTAAGTTGCCAGCCTAGTTAGAACAAGAACTGAATCGATTCCTTGTGCCTCAGCCTGCCCGATTGGAGTCGTTTAGCAGCTTGACGGCCGCAATTGCTTTCATTTGTCCTATTTCCCAACTGTTATTAATCCTCAACACACCCTCTCCCCCTGAGATTCGTACCAGTCAGCTGCTTTCACAGCTCAGGGAGGGTGAGTCCCTCACCCGGGCTGACCTGCAGGACTGGCTGACGGGGAGCCCAGAGCACGCTTGCTCCTCCGAGACTGGGCAGGGCAGCCACAGTCCACACGCGAGAACGCTCCTCGGGCCAACCTGGAAGCCCTCCACGGGACTCACCGAGTCTCGGAGCTCAGAGCTCGGATGGTGGACGGAGCCTTGGGCAGCCACAGCCGTCCCGGCTGGCCCCTGGGGTCTTGGGTTTGGAACCTGCAGTCCGCCAGGCTCAGAGAGGGGGGCGGGTGCTCAGGGCCCGGCGGGAGGTGGAGGGAGGAAGTACCCAGGAGGGTGATGACATCACAGCCCAGCCCTTGAAAGATGAGCTGTTCCTGCCGCCACTCCAGCTCACTCCCTCCTCAGAGAGGAGGGGACATCAGACAGCCCTGCTGGACTCCGGACAGGAGAGCGACCGAGGTGCCCGCGCAGCCCCCTCCGGACAAGGTGGGTGTCCCCCAGCGCAGGGGGAAGGCGGGCAGGTGGGGGGCTGCAGGGGCTGATTGCCAGGCTGGGACGCAAGTCGCCCTCAGGTCCTGGGGAGTTTGGGGAAAGTTCGCTCCTTTCCCTAGTGCTGACAAGGGACAAGAAGGGCTCCCAGCGAGAGGCACTCTCTCGTCTGCTTTGGGTTGCCTTCTCGTGGCCGCGGGGTGACGGACAGGCGTGTGCGCACTCGTGGGAGCCATGCAGGGCAGACCCGACCTGATGTCTGTGCTCTGGGTGGGCGCCTGGGGCAGATGGTGGGGGCGCTTCAGTCCAGGTGAGGTGCGCCCGGGACGGGGGTGGGGTTTAAACTCCAGAACCTGGCTTTTCACTTGCCGCTCTGCCGCTGCCTACAGACCCTGTATGACCTCGCACATGTTACTTGACCTCTCTGAGCCTCAGTTCCTCTGTGTGCAAAGACCCTGCTGGCCGGCCCCCTGCGGTGGCACGGGTTACAGCTGGCTGAGGGGGAAGAGGTTTTGTAAATGTTGGCCGATGCGCACGGAGGTGATGATTTTAACTCAGACGGGACTTCTCGTCCCTGGACCCTACCGGCTGCCCTGGTGCAAGACAGAGGGGCAAAGAGCGTGGGCTTGCATTCAGCCTCGGGTTGGACCCCCAGCTCTGTTCCCGCCCCCCAAGTGACATTTTTTTACCACGTTTTCCCCCACGTCTTAAGCCACAGAGCTGACCTGGCAGGGCAGTTGCAAAGACAGAGATGGGGCTCATGCCTGCGACGTGCCACATACACATGCAGCTGGTGCTCGATAAACGGTAGACCTTGTTAAAACTGCTGAGGGCAGGTGATTTCGTGGGCCTGGGTGGGGAGGACAGTGGGCGCCGTCCCCCGGGCAGGCTGGAACGCGCCTCCCTGAGTCACCGGCTGCCTGTGGCTCCGGCAGCCCACATGGAGCGGGAGCTCTGGCCCAGGTGTGGGGCAGCAGGGGCCCTGGGGCCAAACCCGCCTCTCATTTCTTCTCTGAACGACTGCAGGGGACACTGCTGTCCTCCTTCTCTGGAGGGACCCCCTCTGTGCCCTTCTGGGCCCTGGCCACAGTGGAGGTGACGGGAACCTTCTGTAACCGGGAGCCCCCCAGGCTTGAGGAAGGAGTTGGCTGTCTTCCCCCTCCTTGGGGCGGGAGTCGGGCAGGGTGGGGGATGGCCAGGAGAAGGCTCCCAGGGTGATCCCTGCCACGGGCGGGATCCCAGGGTCTCAGCCCAGCTCTGCCCTGAACTCACAAAGCCCCTGCAGCCACGTGCTCCAAGCCCCCTGTGGAAGAGATGAGAAAATCTAGTCTCAGGGCGAGAATGCAGGCCAGCAAAGCCTTTGCTCAGGGTCCGGGGAAATGACTCCATCTCTTCGGGACTCGGCCTCTGCCATTTGCAAACAGGGAAGGGTCAGGAGATTAACTGAGCACGGACGGTGAGACTGAGTCGTGCTGGGGATTAGACCAGACTCAGGAGGTGCTGGCCGATGCAACCGAGCAGGCAAGACAGCTCTGTCATGTGGTCTCCCCTAACATACCGACTCTGTCTGCCTGAACGTTCAGAGGGCGGCCCCCTCACCTGTGCCACCTCACAGTAAAGGGAGGGGTCCACGTGGGGCAGGGGAATGTGCCCTGAGACCTACCGGGGGCTCTGGTTTTCCGAATGGGAGCAGAGATCCCGTCTGTCCAATCACAGAGGCCCCCCCCCCACCCCACGCTGAGATCTGTGCCGGCCACACAGCAGGCTCCGGTCAGTATTTGCTGAATGACTGAATGGTTGGATGGGTGGATGGATGGATGGATGGACAGACAGACGAATGGAACACAGCAGGCTCTGGTCAGTATTTGCTAAATGACTGAATAGTTGGATGGGTAGATAGATGGATGGATGGATGGACGGACAGACGAATGGATAGATAGACGAACACTGGTCACAGAGCGGGCACAGAAAGCACAGCAAGTCATCCCTCCACGCGAGAAGCCAGACTGAAAAGGCTCTGTACTGTAGGATTCCCTCTCTGCAACTTTCTGGAAGAGGCAACACCGTGCAAACGAGGAAAATGTCAGGGTTTCCAGAGCTGGGGAGAAGGAGGGATGAGTAGGTGAGCACGGGGGATCTCCAGGGCAGTGGGACTGCTCTGCGCAAAGCTGCAGTGGCGGACACATGTCACTCTGCAGCTGTCCAGACCCACAGCACGTGCACCCCAAGAGCGAGCCCCAGTGTGCACTGCGGGCTTGTGGGAGCAGGCTTACCAACGGTAGTAAAGGTGCCACCCTGCGGGGTGTTGGTAGCAGGGGGTGGCTGTGCATGGTGGGGGTTGGAGGGATGTGGGAAGTCTCTGTACTTGTCACTCAGTTTTCCTGTGAACCTAAAACTACTCCAGAAAGTGAATGCTACTTGAGAAACCAGGAAAAGGCGCACAGAGCAGACCTGTGTGTTGCTCTGGGAAGCCAGAAGGCACTGGGAGCATCTCAGGGCCAGGAGTCGAATGAGGAGAACTTGCTAAGACTTGATAGCTGAAGTGTACCAGGTGTAGTGCCCACCCGGTCCAGGAATCCCCTGACCCCTGAGTATCCATCTCAGTGTGCATGCTTCTAGGGATGGAGAGCTCATTACTGTGCAAGACAGCTCGTTCCATCTCGGGAGAGTGGTACCTTTAAAGAGCTCTTCTTTAGACTAAAGCTAAACTCCTCTCCCAATGAACGATGGTCCGCTTTCCATTTCTTGGAGTGGGACTGGTAATTCTGGTCTCTATTGGTCCCCTCTCAGCTAGATGTCCATAATTCTTTCACCAAAACACGCTTTTTGGAACAAATCCAAGGAGTCAGCTATTTCTCTGGCTCCGTCATCCAAGGGGGATCTGGAGCTTCCTGCAGCCTAGGGAAGTGTGAGTCCCCCTCCCCTGAACTATCCCAGTGCAAAGCAGGCCGGAACGAACAAGGGCTCTGAGTTCGAAATCTGACTGTTGTTGGCCAGGGAAGCTCTCTGAGTCTCAGCTTTCTCAGCCGCCTGGGGCGGGGGCTCCCCCTTCCTATTCCTGGGATGGCAGCGTGGGGAGGGTGAGCCCAGATGGTACAGGCGCAGAGCAGGCAGCTGCCAGGCTCACTCCGCACATGCGCCTAGCAGATGGACGGCCTCTGGGGCCAGGAAAAGGAGCCCCCCAAGAGGTGTGGTTTTTGCCCTGCAGTGGGGTCACGGGCTTGGGAGCCCCCGCCCCTGCCCATGCTCATGTTCCTAGGCAATGCATCCGTGGGTGGTGCCAGCCGAGGCCCTGACGCACTGCCCCCCCACCATAGACTTAAACTTTCCACCCCCACCCCCAGCATCTTGGGCCTCCCTATGCTCTGTGGCCAGGGAAGTGCTGTGAGGTGAGGTGCAGAGGACTGGCTCCCAGACCCCCCAGAACCCACGAGCTAGCGGAGCGACCTCGGGCAAGTCACCTTGCTCCTCTGGGTCCGCATCTGAGGGTCAGGAGAACCTGGGCCGGACAGCTAGTGGGGCAGTACAAACTGTGGCGTGCTGAGCCCTGGAACAGCCCTGCAGCTTCTGTGTTTGTTATTGTGCTGATGCGTAGCCATGACGCCACATCCCCTCCCCTTTCCTGTGGGGCCCCTGAGTGGCCACGCTCCCGGCCATGTGGCCTGATGGAGAAAGACCAGTCATTTGCAAACTCCGTTGTGACCTGGAGTCACCTGGACGTTGGTCCCCCACGCAGACGCCTGGGCCCTCCCCAGGGACTCCGACCTGGAGGTCTGGGTGCCCAAAGACCTGCTAACATCCCCGGGGATTTTGAAGCAGGCGGGCCGCCGTCCACACTTTGAGGCAAACCGCCTTAGCAAAGAGCTTTCTGAGGGGAGCAAACTCGAGAGGAACCCGGGCCCTGTCTCTGCCCTGAACCCCAAAGCCACCCTCTCTGGACCCCCCTGGAGCCCTGTCTAAGGCCCCGTAGCTGAGGGTCCCCAAGCCCATTCCTGCCCCCTCCCACCTCTCAGACTGACAGACACACTCGCCCTGAGAACGGGGAGCCTCAGGAGCCCCCTGCCCAGCTCCTCAGGGCCTGGGAAGCATCACATGGGTCCTGTTTCCCCGGCCCAGCCGGAGGCCCCCCGAGGGGAAAGGCCAAGCCCAGCCCAGAGTGCGGCCCCCCTGTGCGCCTGGAGTGCGGCCGCAGCAGACAGGAGGCCCTGGGGCCCTTCCGGGGCCTCGGGGCTTGTGCTTTCCGGCCACTTGGGAAAGCAGCCCCACCGAGTAAGTCCAGAAGGAGAAAGGCATGCTGTGGGAAAAGCTGGTGGGATCCGCAAAACCAGTTGTAAGGAAGGGCTGACACATTGGTTGTAATGAGACTGTGAAGGTTTACAACTGTTTAGAAAGGATACGTAAAATAGAAAAGACATAAACATTAAGGAATACTCTGGAACGAAAATTCCTCCTTATTGTAACTAAATCTGGAAGTGGGAAGGAGGAGGGAGCAGGGGAGGAAAAGTGTGATGAAGATTTTATCTTACTCGGAAGAATGCTTATTTTTCTATTCTGGATGCTAACGGGTAGATACAAATTTTAACAGGTTTATTAAAAATGGAAAGATAACCTCTAGGAAAGTAGAAGAATACATGTATATATGAAACATATCACATTTATTATAAGTTATGTTACTTTGTACTCTACAAGCAATACACTTCCACGGGATATTTATAGATGCTATGTTGTAGCCCCTAAAAAAACATCAGTAAATCCAAGATGTCGAATTCTTACAGGCTGCATCACCTAGCTTTACTATGGAAAACATCAAACCTCAAAACTGAATATCACAAACCACTGGACAATTTTACAAAACACTCTTCTTCCCAACTCTTCCATCAGAGATCACTAAGAGTGAAATGATAGCTATCTGAGCAGTGATCGACGATGCAAATGCTCCTAACCATGGTCCCAGGTGCAGCCAAAGCCGCACGCACAGGACAACTCATGCCGCTCAT